CTTCCATCCAGAAGGACAAGAACAGCAGATATATAGGAACACAACCGTCTTCAAGTTCCCCTCCAAGCCACTCACCATCCTGACTTGGAAATATATCGCCGTTCCTTCACTGTCACTGGGTCAAAATCCTGGAATTCTCTCCCTAGGGGCATTGTGGGTCAACCCACAGTTGGTGCACTGCAGCAGTTCAAGAAGGCAGCTCACCCCCACCTACTCACGGGCAACTAGGGACTGGGTAATAAATGCTGGCCAGCCAGCGACGCCCGCATCCCACAAATGAATAAATAATTATTTTTAAACATATGGTTAGGACACAACAAAATTTAGTTTTGGAACTGGAGAAGGACCAGTAATCATATGAAAAAAAGGGTAGTGCTCTATATATTGTAAGCAGCATGTCTTCTTATTTTATGGTTTTAACAACTGTGGACTGGAATGAGAAATAGCTGTTTTAAAAACCATTGTTTAAAAGGGTGGCTGTAAGTTTTGAGAAGTGTATATCTTGCCATCCATTGCAGGCATTGCATAAACAATTAAACTAGCAGCAATTTCAGAGTTACAGGTAATTTGGAGTTGAGTGGTGTAATGATGCAGCTTTTGCTGACAACAAGAAGGTCTATGGGCTAGTGACACGTTACCACTGACAGAGAAACTGTGTGATTTGTTCTCAAGCTACTGAACAGCTTGGACCAAGGAATAAGTCACAGAGACAGAGAGAGAGAGAAAGACAGAGAGAGAAAGAGAGAGAGAGAAAGAGAGAAAGACAGAAAGAGAGAGAGACAGATATTCAGCTTACACCCAGCTCAAAAGCAGTCTCTCTGTTCTTTGCAGTCAAAGCTCATTGTAAACTTGAAGCAAATCAATTTATCTTTTCTGCAACAGTTGTTGTAAGCAATGACTTTCAACTGATAAGTCAGCACCATTTTATAAATAAACCTCTCACCAACCAAAACCAAAATGACCTCCACAGAAGATAGACACGGAATACATCCGATAGGGTACCCTTTGTTGTCCAGTACTTCGCGGGAGCGGAGAAACTACGCCATGCTCTTTGCAGCCTTCAACACGTTATTGATGATGATGAACACCTCACAAGATCTTCCCCACACCTCCACTTCTCATCCTTAAAAAACCGTCAAACCTTAAACAGACCATTGTTTGCAGCAAACTACCCAGCCTTCAGAGCAACATCGACCACAACACTATACAACCCTGTCATGGTAACCTCTGCAAGACATGTCAGATCATCGACATGGACACTACCATCACACGTAGGAACACCACCCACCACATGCACGGCAGATACTCATGTGACTAGGCCAACGTTGTCTATCTCATACACTGCAGGCAAGATGCCCCAAGGCATGGTATATTGGCGGGACCATGCAGACGCTGCATCAACAGATGAATGGACACTGCATAACAATTGCCAAACAGGGATGTTCCCTCCCAGTGGGGGAAAACTTCAGCGGGAAAGGACATTCAGCCTCGGATCTTCAGGTAAACGTCCTCCAAGGCGGACTTTAGGATACACAACAACACTGAGGTGCCTGATAGCCAAGTTCGGTACCCACAAGTACAACCTCACCTGGGATCTTGGGTTCATGTTACGCTTCAGGTGACCCCACCACCTATACACTCTCTCACACACACACACACACACATGCATACACACGTACACACACACACGCAAATCTCTTGTATTTGCAGACACATTCTATTTTGTTCAAATTGCACACAATTTATACAGTCAGTCAATGTGATGTTTTATAAATTCCTACTTTAGAAATAAAACCATTCTGACTCCAAACCAAAACATAAACAGATTCTAAACAACGCTTCACACCTAACACACATTGTCTGACCTAAAATGTCACCTCTTTTTTACACTGATAAAACCTTTTGTTCTATCAGGACAGTGACTTCAAAGGAATTTGGGGATTTACATATGCATATTAACCAATTAAAACCTTTGAACTGATTAAAGATTTAACAGCATCTAAGGTTTGTTTAATACATCCTCATCAGTGGTGTGATCCTTTGATCTTTTACTTATAAATTCTGTGTCTGATACTACCTCTCTCACTAACACCTGAAGAACGAGTGAGGCTGCGAAAGCTTGTGTTTTCAAATTAACCTGTTGGACTATAACCTGGTGTTATTTCTGACCTTGTCAACCAATGGGAGAAACTGGAGAAAGAGAATTGAAGAAACATACTGGCCAGTGCAAAAGTCATAAGAATTATCTCAACAACAGAATGTGGGAACAAAGACCACTGAAATGTCTTTCCCCTCTGTCCATAGCCTATTTCCCCCTATGAGTGTGTACGGGGGAGTTTATAAGGGCACTAGAATTTTAATTTGTAGTGTTAAATGCAGACTGTTTATTACTTCATAGCTACAGCCTAATTACCTGTATTAACT